AAAGAGAAATGCACATTAACGATTAAGGAATTCGAACTGAGCAGCAGTGGAGTGTACTTCTGTGCTGCTAGTTACCACAGTGCTGCACATCACTGCACCTCAATACAAAAACCTATCAAACACACTTGTTTTTCTCTATATCTCTATATTACAGCTCACAGCCTCTCACACCTGGAGTCAGCCATTATAACCAATGTCTCACAGAGATCAGATATTATAATAGAAGCCTCCCTATGAGTAGCAATGAAACATTTAAGCTGCCACATCCTGTGATAAAAAAGCACTCTTTAATATTAAAATTGTCTGATTTCATTGGGGGGGAACATGTCATCATAAATTTCCCGTATATGTCATTTTCTCTTTGTTTTCACATTGAGTCGAGTCTCTATAATCTCTAAATGGTTTTTGTTGGTTTCCTGTAATCTTGAATGCTTTTAATCAACCCATTACTAAAGACTTAATACTTAATAAAGATCTAATACATTAACACATGCATATATTAATGATAAGATATTTCTCTGGGAAAACAAAACACTATGATGACGCCATTACGATAGTTTACCAGTAAAGGTTTTTGTAAAAGAAACGGTTATTAACGTTCAAAGAAAAGGAAACTGTAAATGTGCTGGTTATATTGTAAAGCTACATGAATACCAGCTCAGTGCTGGAGTGTAAAAAACCTAAAGCTGTTTTATAACTTAAATATCGCTACCTTTGGTAAAAGACCAGTTGTGACAGTGTTAACAACAGGTAGATACCAGCATAGATTAAGATGGAAACACAATAAGTAGATTTATGTTCATTCAGTCAGAAAACACAACTTCATGATCATTTTCTTGCCTGTTCACACCCCCTTGCACCTTTAACATTTCCTCTCATAAGGTGGCAGCATATATCCTTCCTCAGAATTCTATACTGAGCAAAGAGTGCGCATTTGTAATAGCTTTTGACACAGTGATGTTCATGATAGTAAATTCAGGACATAATAAGGGTCCACCTGCTGAATGACAGTTTGCTCATGAGAAAGTTTCTTCATTGATGAGAAATAATCGACACAACTAAGATCATCATGATCATTCTACTCCTCAGCATCTGTCCTAACATCCTAGTTTCAGGTAACGTTCAATATATTTTAGAACAGTATTATACAATGTTACTGACATAACTTTAAGCTGCATTTTATAATTCTTGTCTTTTCAACAGGTTCCTCTGTCAGTCATCAAGTCGACCAGACTCCAGCTAACATTTACACAACAAGAGAAGAAGCTAAAATCTACTGCTCACACAGTATTCAAAGCTATAACACAATTCTCTGGTACAAGCAGTCAGAGGAAACTCTACAGTTGCTCGGATTTTTATTTTTAGGTAAAGGTACTATAGAGCCTGGAGTTAATGTGACGATAGATGGGGGTGCAAATGTAAAAGAGAACTGCACATTAACAATTAAGGACATTGAACTGAGCAGCAGTGGAGTGTACTTCTGTGCTGCTAGTTACCACAGTGCTTCACATCACTGAACCACAATACAAAAACCTATCAAACATATGTTCTTAATCTTTTTAATACAGCCTCACACCTGGAATCAGCCATTAAAACCAATGTTGGTCTCACAAAGATCAGATATTATAACAGAAGGTTCCCTATAAACAACTATGCAACATTTGAGCTGTCATATCCTGTTATTAAAAACAATGACACAACCTTCCTACATGTATCATGTTCACCTTACTGACTTAAGTTTGTGACAATTTTTTAAGTTTACTGTAACTTAAAATATTTTTTAACATCGTAAAAAATATCTTTTTTCCTATTATCATCTAATACAACCAAATGAGTGATAAGATATTAATAGAGGCCAATCTCCAATTGCAAATACATCTGTAGAGGATTATTATTGGCTGCTGACTATGAATACAACAGCTTAAAGAAGAAAAAACAAAACATTTTATGATATATTATTTACGTTTTAGATGTTTAACCATAAAAATACTCAAGACTTATATTTCATAAAGTACTAGAAAATTAGTGATTTAATTATTTTAAATAGACTGAATAAGATGAAGAAACTTGGTTGGTTGGGTCTCTGTAATTAACAGGAGAGTTTCCTCTACTAGTGTAACCTTGGTTGGGGTGCATGTCCTCTCATGTCCTGTCATAAGGTGGCAGTATATCTTTGAGTTTCTCACTGAACCAGGTGTGTGAACTGGTGGTTGTGAATGGCACAATCCTTTAGATAAAAATAAACCTCAGGATATAATAGGACTCCACCCCCCAAGTGATGAATTGACATAAGAGAAGTTAGACGTAATTGACACAACTAAGAACATCTGTCATAGCAAGGCATCATGATTATTCTACTCCTCTGCACTTTAGGCATTTTCTTTACTAAGCCCCTTGAAATAACGCTGAAAGTCTGCACTTTAATCGCCTGTTTGACTTGAAATACAGCATGGTTGTGTACACATATAAACCTACAGCAAGTGTATCAATGTCAACATTGTAGCAGTTCATGATTTAACAGACAAAAATAATAACTTCACTCTACAGATGTGAGTGCAGCTACTAAATGGACCTGTACTTTATCAACTAAAGACTGTTAAAATCAGTGCAGTTTGCTTATTTACTGCTAGTTAGCACAGGGGTTCATATCACTGCTCATCAGTACATAATCTTCCCAAACGCCATCTCAGAGCCCTGTGTAGCTTTAAAACATCCCGTCGTAAGGGGGCAGTATGTCTTTACCTTTAACGCTGAACCAGTTTTGTAAATTTGTGGTCAAGGTTGACACAGTGATGATTACAAAGCTAAGTTGAAGATATAGACTCCGCCTGCTGAATGATAGCTCACTCAAAAGGAAGATTACAAAGAAAGAAGGGTGCAAATGATCAGCACAACTGGGAAAATCTATCATAGCAAATCATGATTATTGTACTCTTAACTATTACTTTTCCGTCTTTTTTCTTTCTTCTTCTTGTTTCAGGTAATGCCATGGATATGCTGATTGTATTATAGTTTGACACAATGCTACGATTTTAACTGCATAGCTGCATTTTTTTTTAACATACATTTTAAATTTAGATAATTTCAAGGCTTAATCTTGCATAATCTGTATTATCTTTGGTTGATGTCTGTTCAACAGGTTCCTCTGTAAGTGACCAAGTCAACCAGACTCCATTTAATGTTTATGCAGAAGAAGAAGAAGAAGTTAAAATGCTCTGCTCACATAGTATTCAAAGCTATGACACAATTCTCTGGTACAAGCAGTCAGAGAAGCAGCTACAATTGCTTGGATACATGCGCTATGACAAGGGTTATCCAGAGGCTGGAGTGAATGTGACGATGGATGGGGATGCAAGACAACACAAGAACTGCATATTAACGATTAAATATCTCAAAGTGAGCAGCAGTGGAGTGTACTTCTGTGCTGCTTATTACCACAGTGCTGCACGTCACTGCACCTCAATACGAAAAACTATCAAACACATTTTTTCTGTATTAAATCTCTATCAACGCTCACAGCATCTCACACCTGGAATCAGCCATTATAACCAAAGTTGGTTACAGAAAGATCAGATATTAAAATAGAATATTTAAACTGCCACATCCTGTTATATTAAAAAAAACATCGAATATTTAAAATATCTGTAATGTTGTATTCAAATGTGAGCACTTAGATTGTGCATATCACTTTGAAAACTCAATGGTTTTGTGGAAATCATTATAAAATGAAGACAGGCTTTTTTTGTTTTGCTTCTATTCACATGATGAGACATTACAGGTTTGTACCGAGTGTTGTGTAGGGCTAATTTAACGGGTTTAATGTTTTAACAAAACGAGAAAGGACTCAAACAAAGCACAACTTAAAGATAGTCCATGTTTTCCTAATGAGAGAATTCCATCAGAGGTAGCAATAATGCAAATGCTACCACATAATGAAAGTGAAACATAGTATCAACTAGATTAATGTTCAGTGTGACCTGGTGGTCACAGAGCTCAGGATATAATACGACTCCACCTGCTGAATGATGATTTGCTGAAAAGTGAGTCTCCTCAGCACAACGGAGGCGATCTTTCACTGCAAGGCGTCATGATTATTTTACTCCTAAGCTTTCATTTTAAATACATTCTAGTTTCAGGTAATACAATGAATGTCTTTATTATACTTTAAAATGATACAAAGCTATTATTAAAACTGTATATCTGTACAATTGCATTTTATAGTAATGCTAATATTTATGGTTTATTCTAATATGATGTGTCTCACTTTTGGTTGATGTCTGTTCAGCAGGTTCCTCTGTCTACCAGACTCCAGCAGACATTTACACAAAAGGAGAAGATGTTAAAATCAACTGTTCACAAAGTATTCAAAACTATGACACAATTCTCTGGTACAAACAGTCAGCAAAACTGCTGCAGTTTTTGGGATACATGTATTTAAACAACTATAATCCAGAGCCTGGTGTGAATGTGTCAATGGATGGGAATGCTGATAAAGGCAAGAACGGCACATTAATCATTAAGGAACCCAAAGTGAGCAGCAGTGGAGTGTACTTCTGTGCTGCCTATTACCACAGTGCTGCACGTCACTATACCTCAATACAAAAACGGAACAAACCAAAGTTTTTTTTGTTTTTGTAAGATATCTGTATTGTAGCTCACAGCTCCTCACACCTGGAATCAGCCACTATAGCCAGTGTTGGTCCCACAAAGATCAGATATCACCAGAGAATGTTCCACATGAGCATCAACGTAACATTTAAACCGCATCCTGCCATAGAAAGCAACCTCCAATATTCAAAGTATCTACAGTGTCCAAATTCAACTTGAGCACTATGATGGCACAAATATGCTCACAGGTATCACTAGTTGGTTCATGTTAATATGATAGCATCACACAGTTGCTGCCCAATCATCATGTGAATTTTAGTTCTACTATATCCCAGAGTTCCTCTTTTGGACTGAGACCTGGGAGCCACAGAAGCCATTTAAGTACAGTAGTACTGTCATGTACATGAAAACAGTTTTAGTTTTAGTTTTGCGATTTGTGACATGGCGCCTTATCCTGCTGGAACAACCATCAGAACATCGGTGCATTGGGGTCATAAAAGGATGGACCTGGCAACAGCAGCATGGCCAAAAACATCGTATTTGTACATAGACATTAAAGTTATACAGACATAAAAATCAACCTCTAATATACAGAATATCTGCAATTTCTGATTTAACATTAGTACTATGAAGATAAACAGCATAAACAATTTTCACTTGTTTCATTGGCAGATTTTTTCACTTATTTCAAGCTAAAATATCTTGTCTTAAGTGAAAAATCTGCCAATGAAACAAGTGAAAATTGTCAAGTTTTTTTCTAGTTTTAAGATTCACTGTCTTGAAACAAGTTCCTTTAGCTTACTGAAATGTTGCCCTTTAGCTGATTGTCTCATTTTAAGTGTAATGAGATAATTTTGACTAGAAATAAGAGAAATATACTTGGTAAGATTTAGAGTTTTTGCAGTGAATAAACATGAATTTTCATCTCTTCTCACACTTTAGAGCCCTTTGCAGCTGTAACACTTTCTGTCATTAGGTGGCAGTATATCTTTTGAATTGCACACTGTTGTGAATGGCACAATGTTGTTTAACAAATAATGTTCAAGATAAAAGAACACTCCACCCACTGGATCACGATTTGCTTAAAAGACACTTTCATGAAACAAGACAGAAGTATTCAGCACCACTGAGGACATCTGTCACACGCCATCATGATTATTTTACTCCTAAGCATCTATTTTAAATATATTCTAGCTTCAGGTAATGTCATTGATGTTAAATATATTTTACAACAGTTATATAAATTGTTAATGTCATGACATAAAGCTGCATTTTATATATAATTTTTCATTTATTCTTTTACATCGTGTTTACTTTTGTTTGTTGCCTGTTCAGCAGGTTCCTCTTCAAGTGATAAAGTCGACCAGACACCAGCTAATATTTACACAAAAGAAAAAGAAGTTAAAATCCACTGCTCACACCGTATTCAAAACTATGACACAATCCTCTGGTACAAGCAGTCAGAGAAACAGCTACAATTACTTGGATACCTGCGTTATGGCACAAGTACTCCAGAGACAGGAGTGAATGTAAAGATAGATGGGAGTGCAGAAAAAGAAGAGAACTGCACATTAACGCTCAAGGATCTCAAAGTGAGCAGCAGTGGAGTGTACTTCTGTGCTGCTAGTTACCACAGTGCTGCACATCACTGCACCTCAATACAAAAACCTATCAAACACATTTTTTGGTATCTGTACAGCAGCTCACACCTGGCATCAGCCATTATAACCAATGTTGGTCTCACAAATATCACATATTATAAACTTATTTTTTCTGTTAACTAATACAACCAAATTAATGATAAGACATTTCTCTCAATACACTCTGTGATGATGGCATTTTGGTAGTTTACAATTAAAGGTTTTTGTGAAAAGAAACTGTGTTATTGACTTTTAAAGAAAAGGAAACTGTAAATTTGAGGGCTATATTGTATAGCTACATAAATACCAGTTCAGTGCTGTACTTTAATGTTCTTAAGCTGTTTTATAACTTTAATACCACTACCTTCAGTAAAAGACCAGCTTTAACAATAATTAAATACCAGCATAGATTAAGATGGAAACGTAATAACAAGCAGATTGATGTTCATTCAGTCAGAAAACACAACATCATGATCATTTGCGGCATTTTGCCTTTATTGGAAAGAGGCAGTGAAGATGATGGGAAAACAGGGGGAAACAAAGGGGGTAGACAAGCAGGAAAAGACCCAGAGGTCAGACACTGACCCAGGCTGCTGCTCTCTGGACATGCAGAATCTGGTTGCCTGCTTACTCACTAAACTAAACTGGCATCCCATCATGATCATTTTCTTGCTTGCATACACCCCCTTGCACCTTTAATATTTCCTCTCATAAGGTGGCAGCATATATCCTTGCTCAGAATTGTATACTGAGCAAAGAGTGTGCATTTGTAATAGTTATTGACACAGTGATATTCATTATAATAAACTCAGGACGTAATAAGACTCCACCTGCTGATTGCTCATTTTCTCATAAGAAAGTTTCTTCATTGATGAGAAATGATCGACGCAACAGAGAACATCATGATCATTCTACTCCTCAGCATCTATGCTAACATCCTAGTTTCAGGTAATACCATGGATATTTTCAAAATATTTTACAATAGTATTATACGATGTTACTGACATAACTTTAAGTTGCATTTTATGATTTTCATATAATGTGTATTAATTTTACTTGATGTCTTTTCAGCAGGTTCCAGTGTTCAAGTCGACCAGACTCCAACTAATATTTACACAACAGGAGGAGATGCTAAAATCTACTGCTCACACAGTATTCCAACCTATAACCAAATCCTCTGGTACAAGCAGTCAGAGAAAACTCTACAATTACTTGGATACCTGCGTTATGGCACAGGTACTCCGGAGACGGGAGTGAACGTAACGATAGACGGTGGTGCAAATGAAAAAGAGAACTGCACTATAACAATCAAAGATCTCAAAGTGAGCAGCAGTGGAGCTTACTTCTGTGCAGCTAGTTACCACAGTGCTGAATATCACTGCACCTCAATACAAAAACCTATCAAACACATTTTTTGATATCTGTATTGAAGCTCACAGCCTCAAACACCTGGAGTCAGCCATTATAACCAATATTGCTCTCACAAATATCAGATATTATAATATAGGGTTCCCCGTGAGTAGCAATGCAATATTTAACCTGCTACATCAGGTTATAAAAAGCAATGACATAACTTGCCCACATGTATCATTTTCACCTTGCCAGGTTGATTCTATTACTTTTTTTTTTTTTAAGTTTCCAGTATCTTAATATCTGATTGAAAAATAATTATATTGTTCTGTTATCTAATACAACCAAATTAATAAGCTATTTCCCTCAATAAACACTCTGTGAAGAAGGTGTTATGGTAGTTTACAATTAAGGTTTCTGTGAAAAGATTATTAGTTATGTTATTAACTTTCTAAAGAAACTGTAAATTTGATGATTGTGTTGTATAGCTACATGAATACCAGCTCAGTGCTGGACATTAATGATCTTAAGTTGTTAAACTTAAATAGCACTACCTTTGGTAAAATACCAGCTTTAGCAATAGTTAAATACCAGCATAGTTTAAGATGGAAACACAATAACAAGTAGATTGATGTTCATTCAGTCAGAAAACACAACATCGTTTTCTTCATTTTCTTGTCTCCTCACATCCCCTTGCACCTTTAACATTTCCTCTCATAAGGTGGCAGCATATACCTTAGTTCAGAATTGTATACGGAACCAGGAGTGCGACTTTTTAAAAGTTATAGACACAGTGATGTTTATGATAATAACTTTGGGGTATAATAAGACTCCACCTGCTGAATGAAAGTCTGCGCATGAGAAAGTTTTTTCATTGGGAGAAAAAATCGACACGAGTGAGATCATCATGATCATTCTACTCCTCAGCATCTATGCTAACATCCTAGTTTCAGGTAAAACCATGGATATGTTCACAATATTTTTGAACAGTATTATACAATGTTACTGACATAACTTTAAGCTGCATTTTTAGAATTTTTATACAATGTTTATTACTTTTGTTTTGTGTCTTTTCAGCAGCTTCCTCTTTCAGTGATCAAGTTCACCAGACTCCAACTAATATTTACACAAATGAAGACCAAGCAAAAATCTACTGCTCACACAGTATTTCAGGCTATTACACAATCCTCTGGTACAAGCAGTCAGAAGAACAGCTACAATTTCTCGGATACATGCTTAATGACAAAGGAAATCCAGAAACTGGAGTGAATGTGATGATGGACGGGGATGCAAATGAAAAAAAGAATTGCACTTTAACAATCAAAGATCTCAAAGTGAGCAGCAGTGGCGTGTACTTCTGTGCTGCTAGTTACCACAGTGCTGCACATCACTGCACCTCAATACAAAAACCTATCAAACATATGTTCTTAATATCTGCATTGAAGCTCACAGCCTCACACACCTGGAATCAACCATTATAACCAATGTTGGTCTCACAAATATCAGATATTATAATAGAAGGTTCCTCATGAGCAGCAAAGCAACATTTAAGCTGTCATATCCTGTTATTAAAAACAATGACACAACCTCCCCACATGTACCATTTTCACTTTACTGACTTGACGCTGTGACAATTTTAAAATTTACTGTAAAAAAACTTTTTTCCCCCCTGTTATCACCTATTACAATCAAATGAGTGATAAGATACTTCTCTTAATAAACACTACTATTGTGGTATTTTACAAATGAAATTGCGTTATTACTTTTGTTCATTAATTTCCTGGTTATATTGTATGGCTGAATAAATATTGGCTCAGAGGACTGCTGCTCTCCGGCCATGCAGCATCTGGTTTCCTGCTCACCCACTGAGCTAAACTGGCAACATCCTGATCTTTTTCTTGCCTGTTCACATCCCCTTGCACCTTTAACATTTCCGCTCATAAGGTGGCAGTATATATCCTTGCTCAGAATTGCATGCTGAACCAGGAATGTGAATTTGTAATAGTTACTGATATACTGATGTTTATGATAATAACCTTGGGATATGATAAGACTCCACCTGCTGAATGACAGCTCATGTTGTAGCTTCTTCATTGAAGAGAAATAATCAACACAACTGAGATTGTCCAGTCAACATGATCATTCTACTCCTCAGCATCTATCTTAACATCCTAGTTTCAGGTAATATCATGAATATGTTCAATATATTTTAGAACAGTATTATACAATGTTAGTGGCATAAGGTTAAGCTGCATTTTAGAATTTATATATATATATCGTGTGTTACCTTTTATTCGTGTCTTTTCAGCAGCTTCCTCTTTCAGTGATCAAGTTCACCAGACTCCACCTGATATTTACACAAAAGAAGACAAAGCAAGAATCTACTGCTCACACAGTATTTCAGGCTATTACCAAATCCTCTGGTACAAGCAGTCAGAAGAACAGCTACAGTTTCTCGGATACATGAGTTATGACAAGGGTAATCCAGAACCTGGAGTGAATGTAACAATGGACGGAGGTGCAAATGAAAAAGAGAACTGCACTTTAACAATCAAAGATCTCAAAGTGAGCAGCAGTGGCATCTACTTCTGTGCTGCTAGTCACCACAGTGCTTCACATCACTGCACCTCAATACAAAAACCTATCAAACACATTTTTTCATATCTGCATTGAAGCTCACAGCCTCACACACCTGGAATCAGCCATTATAACCAATGTTGCACATGATTCCTCATGAGCAGTAAAGCAACATTTAAGCTGTCATATCCTGTTATTAAAAACAATGACACAACCTCCCCACATGTATCATTTACACCTTACTGTAACTTAAAAATGTTTTTAACTTCTTAAAAAAAATCTCTTCTTTTCCTATTATCATCTAATACAGTCAAATGTGTGATAAGATAATTCTCTCAATGAACTCTGTTGAAAGTGTTATGGTAGTTTACAATTAAGGTTTTTGTGAAATGAAATTGTGTTATTACTTTTGTTCATTCATTTGCTGGTTATATTGTATGGCTAACTAAATATTGGCTCAGTGCTGGACTTTTAATGACCTCACACTGCTTAACAGTTTCAACAAATAGGTAGATACCAGCACAGATTAAGATGGAAACACAAAAGCAAGTACACTTATGTTCATTCAGTCAGAAAACACAACTTCATGATTGTTTTCTGACCTGCTCACACCCCTTTGCACCTTTAACATTTCCTCTCATAAGGTGGCAGTATGTATCCTTGCTCAAAATTCTATACTGAGCAAAGATGTACATTTGTAATAGCTTTTGACACACTGATGTTTATGATAATAAGCTTAAGATATAATGAGACTCCACCTGCTGAATGACAGTTTGCTCATGAGAAAGTTTCTTCATTGATGAGAAATAATCGACACAACTGAGATCAACATGATCATTCTACTCCTCAGCATCTGTCCTAACATCCTAGTTTCAGGTAAAACCATGAATATGTTCAATTTATTTTAGAACAGTATTATACATTGTTACTTACATAACTTTAAGCTGCCTTTTATTATTCTTATGTATTGTTTCTTTCTTTTTAATTATCTATTTTCAGCAGCTTCCTCTTTCAGTGATCAAGTCGACCAGACTCCTGCTAACATTTACACAAATGGAGAAGAAGCTAAAATCCACTGCTCACACAGTGTTCAAAGCTTTTACCAGATCCTCTGGTATCAGCAGTCAAACAAAGAACTACAGTATCTTGGATACATGTACTTAGGCAAAAGTTCTGTAGAGACAGGAGTGAATGTGACAATAGATGGGGGTGCAAATAAAGGTGAGAACTGCACATTAACGATTAAGGATCTCAAAGTGAGCAGCAGTGGAGTGTACTTCTGTGCTGCGAGCTCCCACAGCGCTGCAGATCATTCTACCTCAGTACAAAAACCTCCCAGGTGCATTTTAAAAAAATATTTCTATTAAAAGCTCACAACCCCTCACACCTGGAATCAGCCATTAAAACCAATGTTGGTCTCACAACAATCAGATATGGGAAAAGTTTCATTTTGAGCCCCAACGCAACATTTAAACTGCAGGTTGTAAAGAGCAACCTCCAACATTAAATATGTCTGACATACCCAATATTTACCATGAACTAAATCTCAACTAAAAATCTCATGTGTTTCAGTTCGAAATATAAATATTTAGTCAATGATATGTTTTCTTCTCTCTGTACAGCACTACAATAGAGTTATGATCAAACAATCTGTGATTGAAGTTCAGACTTTCAGATTCAGGTCAAGAGGTTTAATAAAAGTGCTACTTTAAATGTTCAGGAATAACTGTCTTCTTCTATACACAGTATACAATTTTCAGAGGCTAAAAACTAACTGGATAAGGGATACTTTAAAATGTAAGTACAATTTGAAAGCCTTTGCAATGACTGCTTCTATTCTACATAGGCATAAACAAATGCTGCATGTCTTTGCTTCAGATTCTCTGTTAGGCCTCTATTGCAGCCACCTTAAAGTGAGCTTCTTTGTGGTTCTTAAAACTGCCCTTTTTGGTCAAGATCACGTGACTTGGCCATTGAAGAATATCCCATTTCTTTGCATTGAAAAACTCTTGAAATTACAACAGTGCTTCATATTACTGCTCATCAAAACATAATCTTCTCAAACTCCAGTTTCCATCTCTTTGTCTCACAGCACCTTTAAAACCTGTCATAAGGTGGCAGTATGTCATTGACTTTTACGCTGAAGCCATTGTGTGAATTTGTGGTCATGGCTGACACAATGAAAACAAAACTGAGCTGAGGATATAATAAGACTCCACCTCCTGAGTGATGGTTAGCTTAAAAGGGAGTTTTCTCAGAAAAAGAAAGATTGGAAATCACCATACCTGGGAACATCTGTCACAAAGGCATCATGATTATTCTACTCCTAAGCATCTATTTTAAATATATTCTAGCTTCAGGTAATGCCATTGATGATAAATATATTTCATAATAATAAAATAAAATGTTACTGTCACAACATAAAGCTTCATTTTTAACAGAACTTTTCGTCTATTCTTATACATTGTGTTTTTATTTTTGTTTGATGTCTGTTCAGCAGGTTCCTCTTCAAGTGATAAAGTCGACCAGACTCCAGCTAATATTCACACAAAAGAAAAAGAAGTTAAAATCTACTGCTCACACCGCATTCAAGACTATAACCAAATCCTCTGGTACAAGCAGTCAGAGAAAGAGCTACAATTACTTGGATACCTGCGTTTTGGCACAGGTACTCCAGAGACTGGAGTGAATGTAATGATAGATGGGGGTGCAGAAAAAGAAGAGAACTGCACATTAACGATTAAAGATCTCAAAGTGAGCAGCAGTGGAGTGTACTTCTGTGCTGCAAGTTACCACAGTGCTGCACATCACTGAACCACAATACAAAAACCTATCAAACACTCTTTTTTAATATCTGTATTGAAGCTCAAAGCCTCTCCCACCTGGAATCAGCCATTAAAACCAATGTTGCTCTCACAAATATCACATATTATAATGAAAGGTCCCCCGTGAGCAGCATTTAAGCTGCCACACCCTGTTGTTAAAAGCAATGAACTAACTTCCCCACATGTATCATTTTCACCTTGCTGAGCTGAGTCTGTGACACTTTTCTAAGTTTACTGTTTAAGTGAATATTTTTTCATATTCAATTTTCAAAAACCTTTTTTTCTGTTATCTAATACAACCAAATTAATGATACGACACGTCTCTCAATACATTGTATGATGACATCATTACATCGTTTACCATTAAAGGTGTTTTTATGGAAAAAAAATTCTGTTATTAACGTTCAAAGAAAAGGAAACTTGCTGGTTATATTGTAAGGCTACATGAATACCATCTCGGTGCTGGACTGTAAACAACCTAAAGCTGTTTTAAAACTTAAATAACACTTTCTTTAATAAAAGACCAGCTTTAACAATAGTTAAATACCAGCACAGATTAAGATGGAATTACAATAACAAGTAGATTTATGTTCATTCAGTCAGGAAACAACATCATGGTCATTTCTTTTGCTTGTTCACATCCCCATGCACCTTTAATATTTCCTCTCATAAGGTGGCAGTATATATCCTTGCTCAGAAATGTATACTGAACCAGGAATGTGAATTTGTAATATTTGACATACTGAGGTTTATGGTAATAAACTTGGGATATATAAGACTCCACCTGCTGAATGCTCACGAGAAAGTTTCTTCACTGAAAAGAAATAATCAACACAACTGAGATTATCCAGTCAACATGATCATTCTACTCCTCAGCATCTATCTTAACATCCTAGTTTCAGGTAATATCATCGATATGTTCAGTATATTTTAGAACACTATTATACAATGTGACTGACATAACTTTAAGCCGCATTCTATAATTCTTATATAATGTGTATTACTTTTGTTTGATGTCTTTTCATCAGCTTCTTCTTTCAGTGACCAAGTTCACCAGACTCCACCTAATATTTATACAAAAGGAGAAGAAGCAAAAATCCACTGCTCACACAGTATTTCAGGCTATAACCGAATCCTCTGGTACAAGCAGTCAGAAGAACAGCTACAATTTCTCGGATACATGCTTTATGACAAAGGTAATCCAGAACCAGGAGTGAATTTGACGATGGACGGGGGTGCAAATCAAAACGAGAACTGCACATTAACGATTAAGGATGTCAAAGTGAGCAGCAGTGGCATCTACTTCTGTGCTGCTAGTCACCACAGTGGTGCACATCACTGCACCTCAACACAAAAACCTATCAAACACATTTTTTACATTGCATTGAAGCTCACAGCCTCACACACCTGGAATCAGCCATTATAACCAATGTTGGTCTCACAAAAATCAGATATTATAATAGAAGGTTCCTCATGAGCAGCAAAGCAACATTTAAGCTGTCATATCCTGTTATTAAAAACAATGACACTATGTTGAAAGTGTTATGGTAGGTTAAAGTTAAAGGTTTTTGTAAATTGAAATTGTGTTATTACTTTTGGTCATTAATTTGCTGGTTATATTGTATGGCTAAATAAATATTTGCTCAGTGTAGGACTTTTAATGACCTCACACTGCTTACCAGCTTCAAAACAATAGATAGATACCAGCATAAATTAAGATGGAAACACAATAACAAGTGTTCATTCATTCAAGCAAAACAACATCATGATCGTTTTCTTGCCTGCACACATCCCCTTGCACCTTTAACATTTCCTCTCATAAGGTGGCAGCATATATCCTTGCTCGGAATTATATACTGAACTAGGAGTGTGAATTTGTAATAGTTATTGACATACTGATGTTTATGGTAATAAGCTTGGGGTATAATAAGACTCCACCTACTGAATGAAAGTCTGTGCATGAGAAAGATTCTTCAATGGGAGAAATAATCAAACCAACTGAGATCATCATGATCATTCTACTCCTCAGCATCTATCCTAACATCCTAGTTTAAGGTAATAACATGAATATGTTCAATATATTTTAGAACAGTTGTTAGGTTTATCTAGGCACAAACCTATTGCTGGAACAACCGAGACAACCTACTGCAACTAGCAAAACATAAGACACCAGGCAGAACTCTTTGTGCGATCTCGCGCGCGGGAAGCTAACTATGGTCAAGTGTTGTTCTGTCCACTTGAACTCCATCAGACTCTCAGCTAGACTTCCCGTAGCGCTCCTTTTATGGTGGTTTCATGAATATGCATAGTTTCATTAACATATGACATCTTAAACAGGCATGTGTGTGAACAAAGAATACCTGTCTGTGTGTACATGTAAGTGTGTTTGATGTTTTTTTCCCTTGCTACCTAGCCTGACATGTCTCCCCAATGTGATGTTTGTGTATTGTATGTATGGTCGGCAAAGTCTGTCATCTCGGTTGTGGGCAGCTGCAACTGACAAATAAAGGCTCTCTCATCATCTTATAATCAAACAATCTGTGATTGAAGTTCAGACTTTCAGATTCAGGTCAAGAGGTTTAATAAAAGTGCTACTTTAAATGTTCGGGAAATAACTGTCTTCTTCTATACACAGTATCCAAATTTCAGAGGCTCAAAGGTAAATGGATAAGGGATACTTTAAAATATAAGTACCATTTTAAAAGCTTTGCCTCTGTTCTACATAGGCATAAACAAATGCTGCATGTCCTTGCTTCAGATTCTCTGTTAGGCCTTTACTGCAGCCACCTTAAAGTGAGCTTCTTTGTGGTTCTTCATGCCTTTAGTTTGGCATTAAATAATGAAAAAACTGGCCTTTTTGGTCAAGATCACATGACTTGGCCACTGAAGAATATCCCATTTCTTTGCATTGAAAAACTCTTGAGATTACAACAGTGCTTCATATTACTGCTCATCAATACTTAATCTTCTCAAACTCCAGTTTCCTTCTCTTTGTCTCACAGCACCTTTAAAACCTCCTGTCATAAGGTGGCAGTATGTCATTGTCTTTTATGCTGAATCAGTTGTGTGAATTTGTGGCAACAGCTGACACAGTGATGAAAACAAAACTAAGCTGAGGATATAATAAGACTCCACCTCCTGAGTGATGGTTTGCTTAAAAGGGAGTTTATTCAGAAGAAAAAAAGATTGGAAATCACCATACCTGGGAACATCGTTCATAGTAAATCATGATTATTCTACTTCTAACTATTAATTTTAGCTGTATTCTGGTTTCAGGTAAAGCCATGAATATCTTCACTATATTTTAGTAGGATGCAATGCTATAATAATCCTGTATATCTGTTTATCTATATTTTATAATTTAGATCATTTTAAGGCTTATACTTATGGATTGTGTCTTATTTTTGGTTGGTGTCTGTTTAGCAGGTTCCTCTGACAGTGATCAAGTCAACCAGACTCCAGCAAACATTTACACAAATGGGGAAGAAGCAAAAATCCACTGCTCACACAGCATTTCAAGCTATTACCAAATCCTCTGGTACAAGCAGTCAGAGAAACAGCTACTATTGCTTGGATACATGTATTATGATAAAAGTTATCCAGAACCTGGAGTGAATGTAACAATTGATGGGGATGCAAGGCAGCGCAAGAACTGCATATTAACGATTAAGGAATTTGAACTGAGCAGCAGTGCAGTGTACTTCTGTGCTGCTAGTTACCACAGTACTGCACATCACTGCACCTCAATACAAAAACCTATCAAACATGTGTTCTTAATCTGTTTATTACAGCCTCTCACACCTGGAATCAGCCATTATAACCAATGTTGGTCACAGAAAGATCAGATTACTGCAAGACGCCGGAGACAGATGCAAACTCAACTGCAGCTTTATTGCTGGGTTACATAAATTTAGAATCATGTACAAACAAAGGCATAACTATGAACTAGAGAGAAGAACACCGAACAAATCGCAGAAGATTGATAACATGACAACAACAGGAGCAACAGGAGACAAGAGGTAATCCGGGAGATGGAACACAGAAGTGGACACAGTTGAACTTAATCAGAAGCAAAACTCAAAACACTGAACACGGGATGTGAGAACTCAAAAGTAAAACACAAAATACAAGACAGATGCAGACTTGACTCTGAGACATGGCAACATTAAGGCGCAGAACCAGAACAGAAACCTTGAAACCAGCAACAATAAATATAACAGAAAACCATAATTCAAAGAGGAAAACGTAAACCAGCAACACAAAACACTGGGTTGCAGACCGAGGACCGTGACAGTTCTTTCATATATCATTATCCATTAGCTAAGTTGTACTTATGTGAAAAGCTTTAACAAATAGGTCGTTTTGTGTAAAGTATTCAAGCTGATCATTGTTGTTGTGTTTTGTTTTTGTTAGTTTGTTTTCATTCACATTAACATGGTATTAGTTTCTCAAAAAGATAAAGCACTGCTATCAATGACCATCTGTTGATCTCACAGCCTACAGCTTGTAGCACCTGAAACACTTCTTGGCGTATGATGCTAGGCTATCTGTGACTTTTACACTGAACCAGTAGTGTGGATTTGTTTAAGACTCCTCCCACTAAATTACAGTTTCTTCATCAGACAGTTGGAAATAATCAGCACAACTGAGAACATCTTTCATAGCAAGACATCATGATAATTCTACTCCTAAGTATTTATTTTGAATGTATTCTAGTTTCAGGTAATACCATCAACATGTTAATTGCATTTTAAATTGGTATCATACAGTGCTAGTGTTATAAGTGTATTTAAATTGTTATAAATTTCGCTTTACTTTTGAATTATGTATGTTCAGCAGGTTCCTCTTTAAGTGACCAAGTCCACCAGACTCCAGCTAATATTTACACAAAAGAAGAAGATGTTAAAATCGACTGCTCACACAGTATTCAAAGCTATCACCTAATCCTCTGGTACAAGCAGTCAAAGAAACAACTGCTGTTGCTTGGATACATGTACTTAGGCAAAAGTTTTCTGGAGACTGGAGTGAATGTAACGATTGACGGGGGTGCAGAGAAAAATGAGAACTGCACATTAACGATTAAGGATATCAAGCTGAGCAGCAGTGGAGTGTACTTCTGTGCTGCGAGATATCACAGTGGTGCATATCACTAGACCTCTATACAAAAACCTCCCAAACACACTCCTTTAATATCTGTTTTACAGCTCATGCCCCTCACACCTGGAATCTGGCATTATAACCAATGTTGGTCTCCCAACGATCAGATATTATAATATGAGGTTTCTTGTGAGCAGCAATTCTACATTTTAGCTGTTGGTTTACACACGCAATATTATAAAGATTTTGTCACTGTCCAAATATGTATAGACTGAACTATGTCATTGCCAACCTACACTGTAGCAGTTCATTAAAGTGTAAATATTGGACAGAGCTGCCATTATCAACTGAATTAATTGTGAAAATCAGTGAATTTTACTTATGTGAACAATGATTCATATTACTACTCATTAATACATAACCTTCCCGAACATCAGTTTTCTTCTTCTCACAGGCTGTGAGCTGTTAGACATGTGCACCTCTAACACTTCCTGTCATAAGGTGGCAGTATATCTTTGATTTTCACACTGGAACCAGTAGTGTAAATTTGTGATGATGGTTGACACAGTGATTATTGCATAACTGAGTACATAACATGATCAAAACAACTGAGAACATATTTCGAAACAGGGCATCGTGATCATTCTTCCCCTAAGCATTCAATTTAACTGCATTCTTGTTTCAGGTAATGCCATCAATGGCATTACTGTATCACACAGTGGGCGGCTGGAAACAAACCAAAAGTTAGTGAGAGTAGGAGGCAGAGAGTGGGCAGGCTGGTGAGCAGGTGAGACCTTCCTTTGACAGGTTAGAGAGATCATGTGATCAGGTGAGGTGGGCATGCTTGACTGGAGATTTCCACAGCTAGTAGGTGAGTTTGTTTCCAAGACAGCAAGAATTTCCAAGACAGACAGGAGCAGGTAATTCAGGTATACAAGGAGAGACAAGTATTACTACAGACAGGCGATTTCAAACAAAATGTACTAAATGCTCACGATAACAACAACAACTACCGAGCAAACAAGTGATGTAGCCTCCAGCCTTGATCTACCCAGCACTTGACTGCCAAATATAAGGCATGTGTAGGAAGGATGGACACATGGGGAAACCGCCCTGCATGAGGAGCCAGCCCAGCAACTTCACCTGAGACTAACAGCAAAATGGTTAAAGAAAAAAAAAAATAGGAAAACATCCTTCAAAGGCCTACCATAACAAAAAGGAGGTATTGGATTCAAAAAGCAAGCTTCCAGTAACCTTGAATTTTGTTTACTTATTTAGTTGCACAAGAAGGAAACCTTAATTAAATTATTAATATTTATTAATATAAAGTACATTTTAGTACTTGAGCGATCGTGGCTCAAGATTTGGGCGTTCGTCTTGTAATCGGAAGGTTGCCGGTTCGAGCCCCGGCTCCGACAGTCTCGGTCGTTGTGTCCTTGGGCAAGACACTTCACTCATTGCCTACTGGTGGTGGTCAGAGGGCTCGGTGGTGCCAGTGTTCGGCAGCCTCGCCTCTGTCAGTGCGCCCCAGGGCGGCTGTGGCTACACTGTAGCTTGTCATCACCAGTGTGTGAATGTGTGTGTGAATGGGTGGATGATAGTGTAAAGTGTAAAGCGCTTTGGGGTCCTTAGGACCAAGTAAAGCGCTATACAAATACAGACCATTTACCATTAAATATACAGATAAGCTACAATAATTTACCATCAAAGGGTTATGAACAGGAAATGTTACAAACTTTCAAAGAAAGAAACTTTATAACAATTATATACTAACTTAGGTAATAAAGACAATCTTTATCAAATAGATTTAGTATCGACAAAACTCAGCTTCTTGTTGCTTTTACTAATAATAGGGTTGTTCTTGTTGACTGTTCACTTCTTACAGCTCACAGCCCCAAGCAGCCATGAAACTTCCTGTCTTAAGGTGGCAGTGTATATTTGCTCAGATTGTTGCGCTGAACCAGTAGTGAATTTGTGGAGGTGGCTGAAACAGTGAAGATTTTAATAATAAGCTGAGGATGTTGCAGGACTCCACCTGCTAAGTGATGGTTTGCTTTTAAGAAATCTATTCATAAAAGAGAAAATATCAGCAAACCTGGGAATATCTTTAGTCAAGAATCATGATCCTTTTACTCCTAAGCATCTTTTTTAACTGTCTACTGGCTTCAGGTAAGGGTATAACAATAATTAAGCTGAATTTTATAATTTATTATTTGGCTTGTTTTTATATATTGTGTTTATTTTTGTTTGTTGTCTGTTCAGCAGGTTCTCCCGCCAATGATCAGGTCGACCAGACTCCAGCCAACATTTACACAAAAGGAGAAGATGCTAAAATCCACTGCTCACACAGTATTCAAAGCTATGAAAAAATCCTCTGGTACAAGCAGTCAGAGAAACAACTACAACTGCTTGGATACATGAATTATGATAAGAGTAATCCAGAACCTGGAGTGAACGTAACAATGGATGGGGGTGCTGAAAAAGATCAGAACTGCACATTAACGATTAAGGATATCAAAGCAAGCAGCAGTGGAGTTTACTTCTGTGCAGCTAGTAACCACAGTGCTGCACATCACTGCACCCCAATACAAAAACCAAAGTTGTTGTATTTGTTGTTTTTCTTAATATATCTATTGGCACTCGCAGCACCTTACACCTGGAAGCAGCCATTATCATGAATGTGGTCTCAAAAAGATCAGATATAAAAGGTTCGCTATAAGCAGAAATGCAACATTTGAACTGCCACATCATTTTTAAAAAGCAACCTCTATATATCTATAAATATCTATATATATTTAAAATATCTGTTTATGTATCTAGTGTTTAATTTCAACATGATCGCCATGATGACGCATATGCTCACATATATTGCTCAGCTGGAAGGTCATTTCAGACCCGCTCTATAAGTAATGCCCCACTTCCACTGGCAGTCATTAATGCCAATGCTGGAAAAGTCTGGCCTTTCAGATTATGCCCTTTTCTGTGGTCTTTCAGCCCTTTGGTGTTGCTAAGCAGGCCAATCCATTTCTTCTTTCTAGACATGTAACAGATCATAGATTTGGACACTTTGGGCATTTCTTTCGTTAAGCCTTTGAGATAAACCTGAAAGTCTGCACAAAATTGCAAAAATTGCATCACTGTCTAATTGGAGATTATGTATCAGAATGTCAGGAGCAGGACCACGCCTCCAAACACGCTCCTCCGGGTTCTCATCTATATAGGTTCCCCCAGTTCTGCAAGCTTTCACTCTCATTTATGTGACCCCCCCCCTTTTCAATTCTTTAACTTCTTCGCTTCTATTTAGTACATGGGGATCTGCCAGGCCTGGGAGCCGTCGCCAGTCCCCTTTGAGGCCTTCCCCAAACCGCAGCTCAATTCATGTCCAAGCATTCACCTTTACCTACTAAAAGGCTGTCAAACCTAAAATGAGGATGTGGGCCCAGCTAGTGAAATACTTATGGACATGACTGTAGCATTATCAACCTACACTATGTGGTTCCTGTATACATGGGACTGAAACAAATGGACCGACTTGCACGCGATCAACTGAAGGACCTGTTGTGAAAAGTAGTGAAATTTACTTCTGTGCTCCTAGTTACCACGCTGACTCATATCACTCTTCATCAATATGTAATCTTCCCAAACACAGGTCTTAATCTCCTCCCACAGCTCACTGCCACATGCACCTGTAACATTTCCTGTCGTTAGGTGGCAGTAAATCTTTGACTCTTACACTGAACCAGTAGTGCGATGTTCATGGCTAACACACTGACAATTACACAACTAAGTTGAAGATATAATAAGA